GAGTTGAAGTAGTCCGTCGACCGTCGGGGACCCCATCTCCTCCCCAACATTCAGCATACGGCCCCAGCAGAAACGCCAAAAGGGCTGGTTTGCTTACCTCTACGTAACGTGGATACGACGTAGCATCTAATTCGAACACGGGTTAGTGGAGCCATAGGGCTCGGGCTCTACAAAATAAATTTATGGCGACTAATCTTAACTTATCTACGGGATAAGTCTCGCGCTCGTCCTCACGCAACGTGGTTACGACGTAGCGTATAAGGTAGCCGATGGGTAGGTAGATATGCTCGCCTCATTGCATGATGCGAATGTATTAAAAAAAACTTTTCTCTCCATTATTATCAACCGCTCATAGCTCACCAATTCGACCTGGGGTTGTTACTTACTAATTACAGTTCGCGTTGCGAAGGTTTCACAGAGATGCTGGGTTATGGGGAGAATAATGACTTCACCCGGCTGGCCACGTGTGCCATGGTGTGAGGCGAGTCACACTCTGGTGCCGGTATGACGCAGAATGCTTGGCGCATCTCAAAATGCGACTGATCGATACGTTATCCTTTCATAGTCTTTGATGCGGATGGTAATTTAGTCTCATGTCATGTATGTCTAGGACGAACTCGACTTCAATAAACTTGTCGATGGCATCGGTTGCGATGCTTGGGTTCTTCGGAAGCTAATCTCTGAGGGCCGATGGGTGGCCATTTGGAATGTAGTAGTATGTTCATTGAGATTTATCGATGGAGGCCCTGAACATAGATGCTATCCTCGTCAGTTTTGGGGGTGTGTGAAAACAATTTAGTTTTGGGATTGGACTTGGGTCTTAACGTCTTCTGTCTGAGCGGACTTGGAGGAGGATTGAGGGTGAGTCAAGAATGATTTGCGACTCTATTCGATCTAGGGCTAAATCGATTCTTGTGCAAAATACGACAGAGTTTTAGGATTGTTTGGGGATTTATGCTCTGGCATAGATGGGGCAAACTTGTTCGTTTGCTCTCCAGTGAAACGAGTATTTCAACGTACCGGGGATCGCTGAGAATAGCATGCAGTGCTTGATAGATAGCATTTGTATTACCACGAAGGGAGAATCGATTCACTGGAATTCCCCAGCCGTTCATTTCAACGGCACGGCTGTTCCTGAAATTCGTGTCTATATGACTAGTACAGGGACATCATTAATGCTTTTTGCCTTACCTTACTTGGTCAAAATAAAACGGTATTGTAATAAGCGGTACTGCAGATCGTGCTGCCTCCATTATGCTGTTGTAGCCGCCATGTGTTATGAACGCTTGTAAGCGGGGATGTTCTGAGTGGGAATTTATGCATCGTTTGATCAGATCCAGCGTACACATATTGTGATATGATTTATATAAGTAAGTTGATTGATTTTTAAAATTGAATTTTTTTTCAATATCCCTTTACTCCCACTCACTATCCATTGAATAGCGTACTAGGAACAATTCACCAATGGCTACGTAGAAGTGCAGCTCTGTGGAGCCAATGCACAGGGAGACATTTGAAGCAAATCGGAAAGTTTGTCGTGTAAACTAAAAATTCACTAAATTGACTAATGCTCGTCAAAAATGACTTGGTATACATGAGCGCAGCCTCGCATCGTTAGTCCTAGAGGATTTCTGTCAACCATGAGGCCGGTCAACTTTTGCATTCGTAATGAATGTCCTAACCAGGGCAGGCGTTCCCAGTGTCCAAAGCTTCTTCAAAATGGTTTTTTGTATTGTGGTGTCATGTAGGAACCACAGAACCATGGTTCATTTTTCCCTAAATGCGCCCTCTGAATACCAAAAAAGGGGTGATGAAGTGGTCCGTGGTTTGACTTCTTCTACAAACTTTCGCATTTTGTGTTGCGTTTTTCAGAATTGCACAAAAGGCGTCAGGGCCAAGCACTCTGTATACAGGGGTGGCCAAAAAAAGAGACACTTCACTCCACATTCAGACAGCATTAATCACACTTTGCTAAAATCAAATCGACTGCCTCCAAACTCAGTATTAAAGAGCACATTCTAATCTATCTAAAAGCCACATGACAGCCTTCTACAATGACGACGACGTCAGAAGATTTTCCCACGGAAACATGGTTCACGGTACGAGCTCGACGAGGTCGTCGAGGTACCATAGACCATTACGACGTCCCTGAAACGCTGGTCAAAAGGGTTTGCATAGTCACAGCTAATGTCTCTGGGAAGCTATTCAACAGTTAATCCATTGAAGAAATTGTGTAGCAGCTTCAGGCCGGAGCGATTACGGTAAGCCTCGTTGAGCTCGACGGTGGCGGCAGATGACGTCATATTCTGGAAGACGGCAGGGGCAGTGAAGGAGGGCCTGCTTCTGTTTACGGGGGAACACCTAAGGAATATTCCGCCGTAAAACTTTCATTAACATCGGCTCCCTGTGCGACGAAAAGTTCGATGATGTGCGCCATGGGCAAAGTGTCTCTTTTTTTGGCCACCCCTGTATATCATGTTAATAACTGAACCACCAGCAACCCTT